TAGGGAACTTGTGCCGCGACGGGTTGGCAATTTTCCAGACTGAAATAGCATTGGGAAGCAGGAACAACGACGAGCAGAATGAAAACCGTGGGGATACCGTGGAGCAGCCCAATGCCTCCCCGGCGAGGAACAAGATAGTGGGCACATTCGATGATGGAGGTGGCACAGGCATCGTGACAGAGGCAGACGAGGAGCCCCAGACCTCGATGACGTTTAAGAATGATGAAACCCCAGAGTTCACCATCTTAGAAAAGGTTAAACGGTCGGCGCTTTTTCGATTTGTCGGATGGGGAAAGGGAAAGAATGGGAAAAAAATCCACAAAACTCCCAAGCCGGTGAAGATGACAGAAACGCATACCTCTCCCCCCACGCCCGCTGTCGAGACGAGTGCCCATCTTATGGCCGTCGTGCAAGCTGCCGAGGCTCGCATGCGCAGGAACACTGTTATCATCCAACAGGCATTGTCAAAAGAGGAACTTTACATCTCCTACGCCTCGGACGAGCCGGAGCTATGGCATAAGCCCTTCCAACGCATGGCCTACTTGAAAGTCTATGCCATACAGCTACGCATGCACAAGTACTTGCTTATGCTTCATCGGTCCGCTGCGTCCTTTCCACGAACACTGGCGAGATGTGATTTAGAAATGCTGCAGGCGTATGGCTCGATCATTTTACGGCTTCAGCGCACCCTGGAGGCTGTGTTCAACGACGTACTCTTACGTCTAAGACGTCTCGCGAAGAAGTCCTCGTCGACAGGTGCTAGTACGCAAAGCATGGAGAACCTTAGCTCTCCTATCATGAAGCAAGGAGGGGTGAATGTTTTTCGACTTCGTCAAGGTGAAGCGGGGGTATGAAACGTAACACATTTTGGAAGGGGTTTAATGTGAAGAGAGTGTGAGAATGTTTCGATTTTTAGAATGTAGATGCCATCAAGTCTAGGCCGGTACAGATTTTGATCAATGCAAACGTTGACATAATGCTTTTGCTATTCAACCACAGAATTTTGTGACATACAGGATGCCATTGACGATCTAGTGGCCGACTACTTTGCTAAGGACCCGGTCTTGACCAGCCTTGATTTCATTGTGCCTTTGAATTGCATGATTTACTCCATGCGAAAAATGAGCCCGGAATGTGTAGCATTCGTGCAAGCGGTGCGGGAGTTGAAGTTTCAAGAAAAGAGGATCGGGAGAGGTGTACCAATGGCAGCTGCGGTAATGAAGGAAATGGCTTTACCTGTGTTTGGAACTGAGAAGATCGGGAACGAGCGAGAGGGGGAAAAGACAAAAGAGCAAATGGATTGATAAAGAATTCTAGCCGTAGTTTTTGAACGCCAAATGCACGTAGTTTCCATACAGGAAGTTGAACAAAAGGTGGATTAAACTGTTGCATTTGTACATAGATAATCCCGCAAAGTAATCGCAAAATTGTGACCAAAAAAATATTGTCACACCAGTGTAGGGGTAGAGGTGGACAGAGATGCAGAATAATTGCTTCAGCATAATTTTTGCTTTATGTACGCCAATGAAAATGCGATCAGAGAGCAATAATGCAATTCTCTTGTCAAATGTAGACGGATAGCTGGAAAAAACGACTTGCTAGGACTCAAAATACTTAACAATGCCTGAAGATGATATTTTGACGGGGTTTTTTAAAAAAATGGAAGCGCAAAATTGTATGCTTTTGGACGTTTGGGATGATATGCTCTGTGTGTCAGACCCATTTGTGTAGGTGCGCACGGTTTCTTACACGTGCTCATGTACAGTCTAACAACGTATCGGTTAACAACAGTGCCAGTCTTATACATATGTACATTATACATTTTATCATGTTAGTGTTTGAGCGGAAAGGCAAAAAGTGGACGAAGCAATGTTTTTGTGGGCAAGTTTTCATGTCAGGTCGACTTGGACCTGCACTCTACTGCCTGCCTGCGCCAAGTGATTCGGAGCGTGAGGAAAATTTCAAGCAACCACTACAAAGAACGGTGTGCACTATTATTGGAATGCTTACGTATCAAAAATAAAAAAGTAGTCCTGACGGGATTTGATAACGTGCCAGGGAGCCAAACTTCAAATCGAGGAAGGCTCAAAGGCTACCCGTAGCCCCCTGCTCTGCTTCGAGTGTCGAACGTACGTCCGTCCGTGCTCAAATTAGAAGGCAGGTGCGATATCCTGTAATGCGCGCGAGGGATAGTGGGCCGATTTAGTCCTTGGGCCTGAGACGAATCGAGGCTGTGGTGGCGGGGCACGGAGAGGATTCGAACTCACCGCTTTCGCCACAGGACCAGTGTGTGTTGAGGGATCGCGCCGAAGCGACTCGACTACGTTCCCGAAACAGCCTCGTAAGGACTATGGTACTTTCTATGAAGTCGAAATCAAGACTGTACCACCGGTGCATTTCCATACTGAGGAGGTCGAGGAGGAAAAAGTAGGAGTGCCATTTTAAATTGAAACCGCTGGAAATATCACGCATCTGCATTTTGTCTGGCAATATCTGAAACTGCGCGGCATCAATCAGTATGAAAAGCCTTCCGTGTTGACCGCACGATGACACGGGTGTAAGCTGTACGCACGTTGGACTGCGAGGCTTCAGACTGACATCCGCCTGCGGGTCAAGAAGTGAATGACCATGCGAAACCTCGTCTTTTCTGCTTTGTCTTTGAGCGACTAAGACACACTACAAGCTGTCGTATGGTGATGCATCTTTTTAATCACAGCCATGAAAATTTTTAACTTGTTTATGATCCTTCGCTTCTAGGGGCAACAGAGAATTTCATCTGTACACTAGTTTATTGTACCTTACGGTCTTACCGTTTTCCTGAAGACCGAGTATTGTTGCGGGAGAAATGCTCTCATACAACGGTTGTGTGGTATAATTTGCCGTTTGCCGACATTCATTCTACTCACAGCCTAGGAACTAGCACCATGTCTTCGCCACCGTCGTCTGGTGCCCGGTCCCAAGCCCCCGTACCTCCTGACGCTAACGAGGGGTGTGTCGGTCCTACCTCGGAACAAGCTGGTAAGGCCAGCACTTGCGCTGGATGTCCGAATCAAAAAGTGTGTGCCTCGGGGGAACCTCGACAACCAGACCCTGCTCTTGTAATCGTCCAGGATAAATTGGCGCAAGTGAAGCACAAACTGGTGGTGCTCTCTGGAAAGGGCGGTGTCGGAAAGACTACTTTTGCCTGTCAATTGGCATTTTGTTTGGCCCAACAGCATGGCCTGCAAGTGGGATTGCTGGACGTGGACATTTGTGGGCCCAGCGTGCCCCGTGTCATGGGCTTGACGGGGCAGGAGGTTCATCAGAGCGCGGCGGGGTGGTCACCCGTGTATGTGGATGACAACCTAGGTGTCATGTCCATTGGATTCATGCTTCCCAACGCAGATGATGCCGTCATTTGGCGAGGGCCGCGGAAGAATGGACTGATCAAGCAGTTCCTCACGGACGTAGACTGGGGTGAGCTAGACTATTTAATCATTGACACGCCACCGGGAACATCTGACGAGCACCTTTCGATCATTCAGTACCTGAAAGATGGCTGTGGAATCGATGGAGCAGTGGTGGTGACTACGCCCCAGGAAGTGGCAATGGCAGACGTGCGCAAGGAATTGAATTTTTGCAAGAAAACGGGCCTCCAAGTTGTGGGGGTCGTCGAAAACATGAGCGGCCTCAACGTGCCACTGACGGCATTAAATTTTTTAGAGAAACCAGTTGCCAGACATAATGGCAATGGGGCTGGAATTGAGGAAAGAGACAAGAGTATGGAGACTGACAAGCCCGTGATAAAGGACAAAACAGCTGAGGTATTAGAAGCTCTTCGAAAAGTTGATCCATCCTTGCTTGACTGTGTAGTACAGGCTGAAGTTTTTCCCGCCTTTGGAAGTGGCCCGCAAGGAATGGCAGCGGCATTTGAGGTACCTTTCCTCGGTAAGCTGCCGCTCGATCCCGACTTGTTGCGCGCATGTGAAGAAGGTGTCTCTCTTGAGGAAAAAGCGCCGCAGTCACCTGCTGTGCCGGCGCTGCATACTATTGTACGGAGTATCGTGGCTGCCACCATCAACAAAAGATCTAAAACCGACGATTGATGACGAAACCTCGTATTGAAGCAAATCTGCAGACCTAAAGGGTGCGTTCTGGCGAGCATTGCAGTCTTCAACACTCTCTGGCGTAGACTTCACCAACATTTGCCTCCTTTATCGCGGTAGTAAAGAAAAAATGGGAGAAATTGTGAGAATATCTTGTGATTTTTTGCGATATGGCCGTTATTGTTTTTATTAAATCGTTAAAATTCACAATAAGGTCTCGCTAGCAGATGAACCTCTTGACAATGACGTCATACCTTGATGGATCCGTTGAACAGCTTGAAACAAGAGGGCGGTCACCCACTAAGATGGCCGGTAGTACAGACTTTTTCATGGTTTTGGAGGTGCGTCTATTTTTGTAAAATTTTGTAATGACGAAATAGGAAGCTTAGCTCTCTCGCCAAGACTTTGTTGCTTTTCGTGCCTGCGGTGCCCGTGAAGGAAAAGCGTAGAAGAACATCGACGGCGCGATTACGCGTGGTTCGGTCAACGTTTCTTATTCGAAAGACTTGCAGTGAATTTTTGGTGCCACTTGTAATCAGCCACAAAGTAAACTTACTATTTGTCCATTTTTCGAATTGGTGGCGGGTGGTATATGCTTACCTGAATGTTATGTCGTAAAATGGCAAAAGAGTCCCCTTCCTTCAACCTCCCGTCCATACTAGTACACCGCAATATTAATACCCTTATCTCGAACTAATACCATCGAACAGGAAAAGCCAAGTAAACGCCTGTCTCGCTCCGATCTCGCCATAATTACTTGTCCATGCTCAGGGCTAGTAAAAAGCCTCCAATTTCACTTGAGTCCTCCCTCGTTCAGGACGATCTACCGTGTAAAGTTATTCACGGGATATACATTGGCTCTGTTCACAGTGCTTTCAACTCCGATGCCTTAGGGAAATGTGACATTACGCACATCCTTAATGCCACGGGTGTCCCGTCTGTATTTCCTGAACTCTTCACCTATTTCAATTTGAGCCTTCACGACAACGAGTCCGCCAATTTGTTAGCATGTCTTCCTGCCGCCTTCACTTTCATTGAGACAGCTCTTGAAGAAGGAACTGGGGTGCTGGTCCACTGCTCAGGGGGTCGGTCCCGTTCTGCGTCGCTCGTAATAGCCTACTTAATGTCTAAGCTAAAGCTTACCTTCGAGGACGCATTTGCACGTGTACGTGCTGCACGTCCTGTCATTCAACTGAACCAAGGGTTTGAAATGCAGCTTCAAGCCTATGAAGATCAGGCATGCGATGTCTACCGAGCTCATCAGCAAGTGCTTCGAATCCGTTTACACTCGTTCGCCGAACTACGTCGTCAAGGATCAACGCGCGTATCCACGAAGGAAGCAGACAAGCAAAACGTCTCTTATAATCAATCGGCTACCTGGGAAACCTATTCTTTTCACAGCCCAGAGCAGGAGAGGCAGAAAGATCAGCGACAGCCTCATCCAGGACAGAGCGCAGATTGTGAGCAATCGAAACGGCAACAACACCAGCCATACGTCAAGGAGGTCGGAATGCGAAAAGTATGGAGGGAAAGATTAGTCATGTCAAGCACCAAAGGGGTGCCACGACATAGCCCTTACCCTCATCGCATTCACACCGTCTTTGGCAAGAGAGAGCGGCGTTCCCGCGCCAGCCCCCTTCGAGGCTTTAACGCCGACAATAGCGGATCTCCTTCATTTCACTTTGTGCAAAGAAGCGGTGGAACAGTCACTTATCGAAGCGACTCAAAAGAAGAAGCATGCGAGGAGGACTGCAATATCAGAGACTTCGAGGACACTGGTCGTATCTTCTTCAGCAAACCCATCTTGCCGGTCGTGGGGAAAAGCCCCGAAGTAGCGACCATACGTGATCCTGTCAACTTACAACCTGCTCTCATGCCGCCCTCGAGCTTTGGAGAGACCCCAAAAATTCCTCACCTGCAGGCTTTTGAGAGAGGATTGCACTGTGCGGCATGTTTTACTCGCTTGTTCAAGCTGGGAAACGTCCTGATAACGGAGTCCAGTGAAGGAGAGGATGATCAAGAGCTGCAGCTGACTGAAGGCTTGAGAAGTTTGGAAGCAGTAGAGCCTGATGAGCCACGAAATGAGAAACGCTGTCTTTTTGCGAGTGTACAGAAGGAGGACAAGCAAAAGGACAAGGAGAAAGTGGAGCAGCGAAATGATTTCGAGGATTGGAAGGCAAAAGAAAAGGTTGGGATGACAGAATGGGAAGAGATGCAAGGGGTTCATGAGGAGTCGGGGGAGGAAAATGACGTCGCCACCGTTGACAGCGCAAAAAATCGGGTTGCTAGTTTAGATGATGAGAAATGCTTTCATTTCTCACATGGCTGTCACGATGATAGCAGGCGTGTGGAGGATCTCACGCACGCCTGCACATCTAATCAGTCCTCGGTACCGCCCTCTTCGCCTCATTCGGACGTCTCGCGGTCGACGAGTCTGACCATGGCGGCCGCGGCAACGGTCGTAGCCGCGAGTTTCTCCAGGAGGAAACATCCTAAACGATTACCATCTCCGCTTCCGGATGTTTTGAGGGCTGAGTCACCTCATCCACCTCCAGCTCCTTCACATCATCGATTTGTGATGGAATGTGGTCACAACGCAACATATAAGATGTCCCCTTGGCTCTACTCTCCTGTTTCCTCGGACATGCCTACTCCCTTGCACGCGCTTGATAATGCCGAGGGCTTAACGATGTCCCCTATCTCAAGTCCTTGTGTGGATGAGGCGCCAGAATCGACGCCAATCTCGCCCGGATCATTCAGCAACCTTACCCGGACGCAAGAGCCAAGTCAAGTGTGGGCCTGCATGCGCATATTGGAAGGTTCAAAAGGGATGGGAGAGCGAACTTTGGCAATCATTCAGGCGGACGAATTGGCATGTCGTCGTTTTCGAACGTGTCAAAATCGCTGGATTCTCGTTGAAGTGTTGCCATGGATGCACAGTATAGTAAATGAAGCGGAGAAGGGCATTTTGTTGTGCCCTGTAATGCACTGCCGAGCAGAAATAGGGCGCTGGGATTGGTCCGAACGTGTGCCAATAGGAAGATCGGCAAACAAATCTGATGGAGATTGTAGGGAGGCTACAGGAGAGCGGGTCATCGACCGATCAGCAAAGGCACCATCCAATTCGACCACCTTGGCTCACAAACATGCCGTTAAATCTTCCCAGCAGCTCCCATTCATCGGTTTTGACAGCTCTAAGATAGTCATCGCAGCAACTACATAGATTAATTTTAGAAACTGTCAGGGGTATCAATGAGCATAACTTCTCGTCAAGGCCAAATGAATCGAGGAACACTACACTTAAAATAAATGCAGCCGAAGCTATTTGCGATGACAAACTCCAATTGCCCTGTAGATCAATATTGTATAAATCTGTCACACCACTTAACTATATTGAGACAGCATACACACTGACCGATAAGATGTAATAAACGGAATTGCTTCAAATATAATTATGAAAAGCATGAAAAAGAGATGCCAGTCAAGATTATTATTGTTGTCATGTTTTTAAAAGCTCATAAAGCAAATTTATTGTGAGCGAATGATTTCATGTAAACATGTAGTTACGACATGGCACGTCATCGCGCGCATCGAAAGGGTTTCGTGACGTCACGAGTAGCCGACCGCTCGCCCAATCCCCCGTAGTCGGGGCCGCTGTGCATCTCGCGCCCCAGAGCATTCACCGGTGCACTCACACGCTGAAGACCTTTGTCTGCCTCATGTGGCATGCTCAGACTTTTGACTAACTTTCTTTTGCACTTGCGTTTCGTGCTACACAGATTCGCGGTATAGCGACGCTTGGGCCGAAGTAAGGCCGGGACTTGACGGCAAGGGTCCTCCCCTCATCTTCCGCCCGCTTTTACACATGGCCTCATCCGTCGTGCCTGTGAGGCCACCTACTGTGGTTCGGCGGGAGTCTGTAACGTGGCCTACCGATGATCCACCACCTCAGTTGAAAAGTTACGGGTCCTTCTCTTCAAACTGGCGAAGTCAGGCGTCTACGCTGCTCCCATCATCACAGTCGACAAACGCGGGGAATTTTGTCCACAGTCCCCGTACTGAACGCCGCCTACAATGGCGTGCTTTATTGCTGGCAGTTTCTACCGTACTACTCACAGCATGTTTCCTTGTAGTCGTAATCTTAGTCACTGGTCGCACTTTGGCCAGTCCGCACGAAACCAGCCCCGGCAAGGACGGGCCACTGAAGACCTTTCCATCCTTGTCCCCGAAAGACAGCTTTAAACCGGAGGACGAACAGCCGTATCTTCTTGCTGTAGATACCGTCAGCAATGTTAAGGGGGGCGCTACTGATGCTTTTCCTGGCGCGTATTTAGCAAAAGCTTCCTCGCACGCTAATCCGAGTCCTGGCTACCCATCAAGCGCCCCAGAGGATCCTAATATCAAAATTCCCGTGACCATGGGATGCCTTGAAGCTATGTGTGAAAGTTGGATGGCAGCTTTGGGTCAGCATCACGGGGACGGGGCAAATCTGACCCTGCTCGATTGTATACAGCGCACAGGTATGTCCGCTGATGGCACCCGGGCATGCTTTGCTAAGTCGCATGTCACGGACTCGGCCGAGCGCGTGGGATTGTACCAATGTGCAGTTTGCAAGGGTTGCCTCGCTCCGCAGAGCAAAGAAGAGAAAGCCGCGCTCTGCCAGACTGGTTCCGGCAAAGGAAAGACATCCGCCAAGCCATCGGCGCCCTCGTCGCATGCTTCCACGCCTTCGGCAAGTGCATGGGACCGCTATGTTCCCAAGGGCTTCGCGCCTTAAGAAGGTCAATAAGATCAACAGGAAATTATTCCTGGTGGGAAGCTGACTGTCTTGTCGGTCGATTTTGATAGCATGAGTTCCACGGGGGAAAGAGAAAACGCTCACAAAGTCAAATTTACTAGAGAGTTGGCATCCTTACGGATATGCCGCGTGTATAGACTGACAACATATGAGTATACCATGTTTAAAGTAAAGGCAATAGCCGACGTTTCTGACGCTGGAGACAGTAGAAGTACTTTTTGTTGCTTGCCAGAAAAATGACTCGCTTTCGTGTCTTGGCACAAGGTCTCCGGGAGACCTTGACAAACAGTTCGACACTCATTTGTCATGGCGTTCTCATCTTAAAGGTTCGATTCAAGAATTGGGGAAGGTGGAAGAAGAAAGCAGTTTACCATAGGCTACATGTGCACTTTCGGGGGAAAATGTCTGGGGCCTTTGGGCAGAAGTCACCGATGCTTGATGATAAGAATGAGGACCATGACAAAAATGGAGCAGAGCAAGCAGACGATGCATCGCGTCGCCTTGGCCGACTTTTGGTTCTCCTCGGCCCTGACCAGCTGGTGCACCCCCTCCTTTGTGTGCTCCACCACCTGCTCCATGTTGAAGTCGATCCGATCGAGCACGGTCCCCTGGTCGATGACCAACACGGCCAGCTCCCTGAATATCTGCGAGAGCTCCTCGATGGACCGGGCGATGTGCTGGATCTCCCGGTCCCTCTCCGCCGTAGTCACCTCCTGCTCCTCCAAAACTGCCAGTTGCTCCGGCGTGAACCCACCCTCCATCCCGTTTTCTTCCCGCGCGCGTCGCTCCGTCTCCAAAGTATCATGGCCGGCAGCAAGGAAGTCGAAGAGTGGAGCGGCGCCCGACTTCTGTGCTTTTAATTGAGCCATGTAATGCTTCTGCGAGGCCCGAAATTCGATCGACAACGCCTGAATTCGTTTTGCCATGGATTTTTGTACATTCCGTGTCACAAGCTTTTCCGTCCCTCCTCCTCCATCTGCCCCTCCCCCCCCCAGCTGCTTGAGCGCCGACTCCGCCTCCCGGAGCATCCCCGTGATCTCCTGCGTCATGAAGTCGATGTCCCGCTCGCGCGCCGCCTCGCTGTCGTCGAACCCCACCAACAATCGCTTTCGATGCAGAGCCTCCAACTCCTTCATTTTGGCCTCTATTTGGGCCGTCAATGTATCCACACGGTCCACTAAATCAACCCATGCTGGCGGTAATTGCATGCGTGCGGCCGCCCACCCTGTGTTACTGTCTTGAGAAGCGTCCTCCAAGAGGCCACTGTCCATCGTGTAGCCGCTGAGGGGGGAGAGAGAATTGCGACCTATTATCTTATTGTATATGTGTACGAAGTGTAGTTTGAGCTATGATATTTCGAGAGAAACGTCTGAAAAATCGCTGAGTCGTCATATACAGTAGAGGTCATAACGTCTCAGTGGTCCGATCAACAGGGAATTTACGTAGCGGTTTGGGCTGCCCTGTTCATCCCTACACTATGTTTCTGTACACATGACATGCCATCCGATGCGCTTTGCTGCTCCATATTTTTGCTCACCCAGTGTCTAATTTGCTATCCCCACCTTCCTGAGCTCCGCTTCGGCCCCAATCTTTCCGCCATCTTACCTTGGCCGTTGTCCTGTAGTCGACGTACTTCCGTGTCAAATCC